GATTGGGTTCTGCATGTACCTAAATTGATGTTTGCCTTTCTGTAAGCCCCCAGATCGGCTCTGGAGCTGCAGGTGGACAAGGCTGTGATAACCTTATGGAGAGGAAAAAAATCCCACTTGTTCTCCTCCCTCTAAGACAAACTGTTTCACTGGGAAGAGCGGTCAGTTTAGGAGGGTGAATTTTGGCTGTGGTTTTTCCTGCTGAAGCAAAGCCTCCGAGCCTCTCCACCTCCGATTGTGCAATTTCAGTGGCCGAGTGATTTCAGCTTCCCCCACATCTGGTGACCTGGTCCAAGAGAAGTCCAAGAACTGAAATAACCGTGGGCTGGAGGAACAGGGTGGTTGGGAGGGACTCAGATCAGCGGATACCTGGTGTGTGAGAGAGAGCAGCACCTCTCTTGCCTTTGCTGTGTTTGCCACCAAACTTCGATTTTGTTTCCCATAAAATCTGTTTTTTCTGTTATGCTGAGCATGTGACCTTCCCACGTGTCTTTGGCTCGTGCAGAGATCCTGTTCTGCAGCAGCCCATCCCCTGCTCTGCTTCTTGTGACAGGAACAGGATTCTCCCTGCAACGTGGAAGTATCCTCACTGGAAAAAACCCTGTCCTTGGCTGAGCTGCACACAGGTCCAGCCTGCTGCAAGCTTTGCTGCTTAGAAATAATGAAGGGAAGCCCTGGAAAAGCCCTGGGGGTGTGGAGCTGAGGAGCATGCGTGTCCCTCAAGGTGACAACCCGGCACTGGACTGGGAAGGCTTCAAAGCTCAGTGTTTCCAGCATGGAGCAGCTTTGCTGTGGGTTTCAGCTTCACCTGTGTCAGCCTCCTGTCTCTGCCCATCACCATTTCACTCCAGGCTGCTCCTGGAGAGAAGGCACCAGTCACTCATGGTGCCTTCCAGGTGCTGATGCTGATGCTTCTGGGTGCTGATGCTGGTGTATTTCATTAGGGAAAAGCCCCAGTCCAGGATGGGAAGCTGGTGCTGGTTTGGAAGCTGCTTGTAAGGAATGTTGAATCAGATCACATGTGTGGCCCCTAAAAGGCCCTGCTAGAGCTGGAGTTTCAGGGCTTTGTGTCCTACAAGTGTATGAGAGAGAATAACACCCCTGCCTTGAAATTGAACCTGCTTTTATGAAAACAAGGAGTTTTCCAGGCACAGGGGTTCAGACTCCTTTTTATCCATTTGCCATTGAATGTCTGGACCCCTGAGCAGGTATGAGCAGGTACCAGTTCTGAGGTGTCTGTCCTGTCTTTTCCCACTGCCTCTTCCCTTGGTGCTGAGCTGCCAATGCCTGGGACAAAGTCAGTCACCTGCCACCAAGGCTGTTCCCTGGAGCTCCAGACTTGCTTCTGAGGGTGCTCAGCTCTTCCAGCTGGGGAAAACCCCTCGCCAGTCCATGTGCTATGGGTGGGAATGGGTTTTGAAGAGCCTCTCCCCTTTCCCATCCTGGGTAAGGAGCTGAGGAATGCAAGGAGTGTTTGTTGTTCTGTCTCCCTGTTTGTCCTGCCAGGGAAATACCAAGCAGAGCAAGGGAAATGAACTTGGTGTTGGAAAGCTGCTGGTGAAACATCTGTGGGGCAGATTTATAAAGGGGAGATAGAGACTCAGTTGGGTTGTGACCAGTCCTGAACAGATCAGGAGACTATTTCAATATTTTAATAAGTTTTTAGAATTCTTGGAGAGATTTCAAAGGAGCAGCACAAGAATGATTAGATTTGGGAATGGGCTTCCCAGCACACCTCCCTGATGGTTTGTTAGCATCCCTTGCAACACATGAGCTCTGCAGTTGGGCCTGGAAAGCTTCACACTCGTTGAGAACCACTGCAATTAATAGGTTATAAAATAGACCAAGGAATGGCCTCGTGTGTGCCAGCACGGGGTGGGGTGTCACTGCCAAAAATCAACTCGTGATTGATAAACAGCAATTAAATCCTCCTTCTCCTCAGTGGGATGAGGTGTTATTATTTCCCCCTGTGCCAGCCAGGTCTCTGTTCCCTTTGGACAAACATCCATCTGCTCCACGTTCTCTCGAGTGTGTTTGACTCGACTGGTTGGGCTGTTGTGACCGTTCCCTGGAGTGGGTTCTGTCCCATTCCCTGGAGTGGGTTCTGTCCCATTCCCTGGAGCAGGTTCTGTCCCATTCCCTGGAGCAGGTTCTGTCCCATGCTGGTGCTCAGACCCCGGAGTGGTCCTGGTGGATGGTGGGAATGCCGTCCACATGCCAACAGTGCTTATTTTGGCCACAGGAATGTCTATAAATAGCCCTGGGTCAGGGCTCCAGGCATTCGCCGTGCCCCTCACGAGTCCTCCATCCAAGCCAGCCCTTCCTCTTGGATTTGCAGCACAGAGACAAGGGAAAGAGCATCTCTCCAGAAAACCCAGAGATGACCGATGTCACGCTCAGTTAATGCTTTTTAACCCAATTACTTGCCTCCTTCCTGATTTTCCTGGCTCCAGCCCGGCTCACTGCCCAGGAATGTCAGGGAGCTGCTTTGTGGATGCCTCGTGAAGTTTGGTCACCACCTCCCAGACAGGTCCAACAGCTGCCATGAGGGAGAGGCCAGTTCAATTATCCGTGTGTGTTTTATAACGATTTACAGGAGACTCTGTGTAAACACTCCATAAAATGCCATTTTTCAGGGCAGTGCCACATCACTCCTGCCATCACCACAATCAGGGTCAGGTGCTGGGATCATCCTCTGCCCCACAATGCTCCTGGTCATAGTTCCTACAAATTTTCAGCTACATGGATCTTGGAGCACTGGATCTTTGGGAAACGATGCAGCTGGATTTTGTTCCCCAGTTGGGAAAGCCGTTTCGTCCTGACTTTCCCCCGTGTGTCTTCACTCTTCTTCTCAAGCCGAAAACACCTCCCCACAGCTTTTGCAAGTCTTTCCCCACCCTGGCTGGAGGGATGACTCCACCCAGGAGATCCCGAGGCTTGTTCTGTCTTGTTTCCCCCCTGGACACGTGGGAGCTCAGCAGGGATTCACCTGGCTGCTCTCTTTTGGGAATTGTGCTCCAGTGAGCCGTGCACGTCCTTGGCTCACAGCTGGAAGTCATCTGTGTTTATTTTGGAGGGATGCTGGAAACAGCACCATCCCTGGATGCAACATCTGGAGAATGTTGTGGCACGTCTTGGTAGGAGCAAGCCCTTGTGTGCTTCCCTGTGACCCACAGCTCCTAAAAGGCCATGACTCAGAGTGCCCAATCCCAAACTGCTGAGGATGTGTTTCCCGCTGGCCGGGTCCCACGTGCTCAGGGCTGGTGTGACCCCGTGACTCTGAGCAAACCACAGTCACACCAGCTCATCCTCTGGCTCTGCTCTGTGCCAGAGGGACAGGGCTGAGCCTTTTGGGAAGGGTTTGCTGTGGATATGGCCATGGGTTTTCCAGCAGCCTCCCCAGGAAGGGGATGTGATGCCGGGGGAGCTGGTTTGTGTGGAGCAGGAGGCTCAGTGCTCCTTGCAGAGCAGCTAAAAAGGACACCAAGCCTTGCTGTAACACAGAATGGGCCCTTCAAAACCTAAACCCCTCCGTGAGGGAAGACTGGACTTCTCTAGGGAAGATAAATCCATTTTTTAGATGGAGACAACCACTGTTTGCTAACGGTTTGCACCCTCAGATGATGGGAGCAGGTCAGTCCCTGTAGCCACGGAGAGGGCTGGGAGCTGTGAACTGGCTGGAGCAAGGAGTGTGACAAAGTTCTGAGTTATTTTGAGGGAAGGAAGGAAAGAAAAAAGAGGAAATGCTTCTATTTCTTCATCTCTTTTGCTGCCCAGGCTTGGAGTGTCTCTATCACGGGGAATTCCTCCAGTCAGACGGGCTCCAAGTCTTCTCCACGTTTACCTCCCCAGGCTGTGCCTCCTTTTTTTTAGTGGTGAGCTAACAGAGTGCCTGGTTTATTTTTGTTTTCCCCAGCTCTCCCCCACAGCTGCATTTCCCCAGTCCAGCTCAGAAACACCCAGCACCTCCTCCGAGGGTGCCCCAGCTCTCTGCAGAGCCCACAGCCTGGCTGGGACAAGCTGGGAATTTCAGCCTTCAAATCCTGGCTCATGGCATGGGAAGTCTTTGCTTCCTGCCTCAGTTTCCCCCCAATATGGGATATTTTAGTGAGCTCCAGCTTCTGGAGAGCCATCCCCATGGCTCCTTCTATCTATCCTGAGGGATATGGCTCTAAATGATGTTTTTATTTCTTCCTCTTGTGTCATTGTGCAGCTTCAAACCCTGGCTGCAGGTAGCTCCTGGAATTGTTCTTGAATAGTGGGATTTTAGGGAATTTTCCTCTCTGCTTGCATCTGGGCTGCCTACTAATAGTGAGAATCTTCTGGGATGGCTTCTTCCCAAAAATGGATAGGAGCTGCTGTGCTGAAATGCTTCAGGTCTCACTTGGGTGTTGTGAAAACCCCTGTGGATCTCCAGAGCACCCACAGGTGCCTCTGCAAACACCACCCTGTTGCATATTTCCTTCCCCAGGGGATTTACCTGCTGGAATAGGCAGGGCAGGGACAGGTGCTGTGCCATCGGACCAGGGAATTTGGCTGGGATTTCTCAGGCTCAGCAGTTTTTTCCCATGTAAGGGCTGGGACCAGCTCCATGCAGGAACATGCCTGGCTCTCCCATCTTACCTAAGAGCTCCAGAGGGATTCAAGGTCTTCAAGGCAGGAGGGTGTTGGAGCTCTGTGTGCTCATATTTTGAAGAGTGTCGTTGGGGTCAGTTCCCAGGGGCTGTGAGATGTTCTCTGGCCCTTTGATAACTTCACATTGAGTCTGGATGATTTTTCTCAAGGAGCTTCTCTAGTAATAATTCAGGAGGAGAAACCAGTTTCTGGGGACAGGTTGGACTCGATGAGCACAATAATGTCAAGTTTTGGATTTTTTAAATCTATCATGTAACTGGTGAGGTTTGGCAAAGACCTATCAGGTCACTAAACTATTAGATGTACTCTCTAGAATATTGTCGTGGCTCAGCTGAGCTGTTCTTGCTTGTTGCCAGCAAACAACCATGGCATATCCCACTGGGATTACATCCTGGGCGAGTAATCTCCCTGCCTGGATGCCAAGTATGTGTGAGACGGGGCCTAAATAGATCTGTAAGCTCCAGGGGCAGCAGGAGGCCGGTGGGTCAGCTGGGAAGGGAAATAGGATTTGGGTGCAAGGGGATTTCTAGGATTTCGAGCAGGTTTTGCAGAAGCAGAAAAGCAATTTATGCTGTGCTGAGCCTCCAAGGGCCAGGCCTGAGTTCAGGGGTAACCCAGAGTGAGGCAGATGGGCCTGGGTTTTGAGAAAGTGGCACCATACATTGTAGGGATGTGGCTGCCCCATCCCTGGAAGTGTCCAAGGTCAGGTTGGATGAGGCTTGGAGCAACGTGGGATAGTGGAAGGTGTCCCTGCCCATGGCAGGGGTGTAATGAGATGGGCTTTAAGATCCCTCCCAACCCAAACCATTCTGGGATTCCACAATGTAGCCTCATTCCAGCAGAGGGAAATGACTTAGGATTTATGGAACTGCCTTCCATGTGCACATGCCTCCATCTGGGTCCTGCTGCTGTGGCCAGGAGATCTGTACCCATGTTTGAAAGCCTGGGGCAGCCTGGCATTGACACCCAGCACTGCTGTGGCCACTGGAGCTGCCTGTGGCAATCAAACCTCTGTCTGTGCCCAGGACACCAAAATTCTGCTGAGACTTCTCCCAGATTTGGCACAGAGCAATCGTGCAGCAGGAGTGAGGCTCCTGGACTCGGAGCATCTTTTATACCTGGAAGCAACATCTCTCCCCAGCCAGGGTTTCCCATGGCAGGACCCTCAACTGAGGAGAGCCCTCGTCCATGGCAGAGCCAGAAACAGAGCAAAGCTGGGGTTTATTTCTGTTCTGAACCACTTTGCAATGGCTGTAGAGGAACCACCAGACTCCACTGTGGTGTTGGCTGGGAGGGAAAAGGGAAGAGGAGACGGGGAAGTTGGCTGTGCAGCCACCACCATACTGCTGGGGTGTCTGAGATGTGGGTGACACTGGGAGAGGTTCTCTCTGGAGTTACAGCCTTTAGGGGACTCTTAAAACCAACAGCTACACCCTGTGAGTAACCTGCATCAGGGTTTAGCAAGCTGAGAGATTACAAAAAGCTACTTAAGGCTGGTTATGAGCATTTTGGCATCTCCACCTTCTCGAGGGCTGTAGAAGGGCGTTCCAGCCATCCCATCTCCTTTTTGCAGCTGCAGAGCTACTTTGCTGCCTGTGAGGACGAGACACCAGCCATCAGAAACCATGACAAGGTCCTGCAGCGGCTCTGTGAACACCTGGACCACGCTCTGCTCTACGGGTGAGCCTGGAGCCTGCCTCTGGAATGCTGCTTTTCCCCATGGAAAAAGCCTGGTGTGGAGCCTCAGCACGGGGAAACCACCTAGGCAGGAGTTGGGATGGAGATAACGAAGCTTTTGCTTAATTTTCCTCTGGACTTTCTCTTCTTCCAGCCTGCAGGACCTTTCCTCGGGGTACTGGGTGCTGGTCGTTCACTTCACACGCCGAGAAGCCATCAAACAGATCGAGGTGCTTCAGCACGTGGCCACCAACCTGGGACGCAGTGAGTGCTCGCAGTGTCCCTGCTCTGAGGGCAAACCTGGCCTTGGGGACACCTGGGGAGGCCCAGGCAGGTTGTACTGAAGGGCTGCCAATGGATTCAGGGAGCCAGCACAGCCCAGGTCACTTGGCTCAGGCCAAGGAGTCATGGAACCATTAAAGCTGGAAAGGACCTCTCTGATCACTGAGTCCAGTTGTCCAACACTGAGTCCAGCACTGCCAGATCCACCACTAAACCCTGTCCCCAAGTGCCACATCCACACATTTTCTAAACAGTCCCAGGGATGGTGATTCCACTGCTTCCATGGGCAGCCTGTTCCAAGGAGGTGGGAGTCCTGCCATAACCACATGAGGTGTCTAGAAATAATGTCACCATGCCTCAGGATCAGGTGCTGAGGCTTCTGCTGCTCTGAAACCCCTGGGAAAGGTTCCTGGGAAATGGGAGCTCTGTGGGGCTGTGCCCTTGGGAAGGGTTCCTGGGAAATGGGAGCTCTGTGGGGCTGTGCCCTTGGGAAAGGTTCCTGGGAAATGGGAGCTCTGTGGGGCTGTGCTCTTGGGAAAGGTTCCTGGGAAATGGGAGCTCTGTGGGGCTGTGCCCTTGGGAAAGGTTCCTGGGAAATGGGAGCTCTGTGGGGCTGTGCCCTTGGGAAAGGTTCCTGGCAGATGGGAGCATCCCCTCTCGCCCCGCAGTGTCTCTCTGTAGCTGTTGTCTGCGTGATCCTGCATTTTCCCTGCTGTGGGTTGTCCATAGGGGATGTTTGGGACCATCGAGGCCGCTTGTGGTGCAGGACAGTGCCCAGGTCCTCTCTGCCAGATTATCCCAACACCCACCATGTCCCAAGCCCCTACTGGTGAGAATGGAGCTGAGCACAGACTCCACCATCACCTCTCTCTGCACCAGAACTGGTGTCAAATCGCACCTGGGCTGATTTAGAGCGATTCTCCCTCCACCTCTGTCTCCTGGCATTTCCAGCAGGGCTCCCATCTCGCTACACAGACACAGTTGTGGGGCTGATTCTCAACCAGACTCTTACTCCTCTTTCCACTCCAAATCACGAATCTCTCACTGGCATTTCCCCCACCAGAATTCCCCCACTGTCAGTTGCTGCCCTCAAATGATACAAATGAACAATCTGGCACGTTTTAACTGATTTGTGATTATTTCTAGGCTTGTTTCACTTGGCAGGTGTTTCCCCACAGATAAATCTCTCTGCTGCTCTGTTCTCAGGCCGGGCCTGGCTGTACCTTGCCCTCAATGAAAATTCCTTGGAGAGTTACTTGAGGCTGTTCCAGGAGAACCTGAGCCTGCTGCACAAGTACTATGTCAAGTGAGTATCCCAGCTCTTTCTCCTTTGGTCACTGGTTGGCATTCCTTCTTGTCAGAAGCCAGCCCAAATTTACCAGTGGGGAACAAGAAGTTGATCAGGGTCTGATTTTTGTCCTTGTGGGATTTACATGATGAATTTAAAGGTCCCAGATGTGGACACACTGTCCTCTTATATAGATAAGAAGACCTGCAAGCCTCTCTCCTAGTTCCTACTTTTACTCTGCAATCCCCTTCATATTTATCATGGTTTCCAAGAAGCTGCTGAGCTCTTATCCAAGGACCCAGCTCTGGTGGACACTTGGAAATGAGGCTGTAGCTCTGTTTGGGGACAGCACGTAGTGGCTGCCCAAGCTCCAGGGCCGTTTGGAGCAGCTCAGAGACACCACTGAGGAAACAGAAGGGCCCTTGTAGCTGCTTCTCCTCCTTCCCACATCTGTAAAGCTCTTTTGTTTTGCCCCCACTGCAGGAACGCCCTGGTCTGCAGCCACGATCATCTGACCCTGTTCTTAACGCTGGTGTCTGGGCTGGAGTTCATCCGCTTTGACTTGGACCTGGTGAGTGTCTGATCTGTCCTCTTGGCTCTGGGAGGGGGGAATGTGGAGCAGGGGGAGTCCAGGGTGGGACAGGTCCCACCATTTGTTCCAGGGTAGATCTGGTGAGTGTTTGATTAGTTCTCTCTGCTCTGGGAGAGTGGGAATGTGGAGCAGGGAGAGTCCAGGGTGGACATGGTGAGTGTTTGATCTGTTCTCTCGGCTCAGGTAGAGTGGGAATGTGGAGTAGGAGGAGTTCATAGTGGGACAGGTCCCACCACTTGCTCCAGGGTGGACCTTCTTGTTGGCCTTCAGCTGAAAACGTGATGCTGATGCTTGTAGGGAAGACTTTCAGGTCTTTTGGGGATTCAGCAATGGAATTTACTCCGATTACTCAGTTATTCCTCTGCACTGTTCAAAAGAGGAACATGACAGCTGTGGGGCAGATTGGTGGGGATGAAGGACTGAACTCTGCAGATGTGGTATGGAACACTGCTGTCCCTCCAGGAAACACAAAACCACTGGATAACCCTCAGTGTCACAGCAGAGCCACTGGGTTTCCTCTGAAATGGGCCCTCAGAAGGGACATTCAACAGGATGGGTGGCACTCTCCCCCCCGTTGTGCCAGTAACAGTGACTGGGAGCCTGACTCACCCCACGCTCTTCCCTGCAGGATGCTCCATACCTGGATCTGGCCCCATACATGCCAGATTACTACAAGCCCCAGCACCTGCTGGACTTCGAGGAGCGTCTGCCCAGCTCCGTGCACGGCTCCGACAGCCTGTCCCTCAACTCCTTCAACTCCGTCACCTCCACCAACCTGGAGTGGGACGACAGTGCCATCGCTCCCTCCAGCGAAGGTCAGTGGCTGTTTGGGGCTGGTGCAGTCAGGGCTGAGTGCTCCACATCCCCTTGGGATGAGGTATGAGCAAATCATGGGCTGGAAGAGACCAAAGTGAGAGCCCCAGGAGCCACGCTGTGAGTTTCTTCTGCCTTAAATCCTTCGGAAATAGGAAAGGGGGAAATGGTTTTAAATTAAAAGAGTTTTAAACTAAAAGAGGGGAAATTTAGATTGGATATTGGGAAGGAATTCCTCCCTGTGAGGGTGGGGAGGCCCTGGCACAGGTTGCCCAGAGAAGCTGTGGTTGCCCCATCCCTGGAAGTGTCCAAGGCCAGGTTGGACAGGGCTTGGAGCAACCTGGGCTAGTGGAAGGTGTCCCTGCCCATGGCAGGGGGTGGATTTAGGTGAACTTTAAGGTCCCTTTCAACCCAAACCATTCTGGGATGATTTGGTGGTAACAGCCCCTTTGGCTCAGACTGGGAGAGAAGGACCTTCCCTGCCAGTCACCCCAGGCCACGTTCCCATCCTGGGGGTTTGTTTTAGCAAGAACTGGAGGAATCTCCTTATGGAGTGAAGGCCGTGCCTATGTCTGAATGTGGCTGACAGGGCAGGGGCCCTGGGCTGCAGGGGAACTTTTTTAACTGATTATTTCACAGTCCAGAGACCCACACATGCTGGAGCTGGTGGGGCAATAGCTTCCAGAGTCTTCTCCATGTCTGTAGTCTGGGAGAAAGGCAGCCAGTGGTCTCACAGGTGTTGAGTTTTCCTCTTTATGCATCTTGAGCAGCCTCATAAATTGTCTTCCTCGTCCCCTTATCCCTGTCAGAGAGGCTGGGTGTTGTTCCTGATGAACATGAAAACACGTACCTTGTGTCTGCCCCCTTAACCTGCTGCAGGCCCAAGCAGGGAGCTCATATCCCACACCCACCATGTTCACATGAAGGAGCAGCTCTGCTGCTGCTCTTCCTAATCCAAAATACACTGGCCCTGTCCCATTCTTTATGTCAGTTTGAGCAAGGGGATTCTGGAATGGAATTGGAATGGAATGAACTGTTAGTTGGATGCAGTGAATTCAGGACTGGGCCCACACACAGATGGGTTCCCTTGAGACAAGGGTCACCTTTTACATGCAGGAACCTACAGATATTAAAGATGATGAGAAGGAGCAGCCTGGGATGGGCATTAGAGTCATTTTAGCAAAGGACTTGGGAGCACAGCACTGATTTGGGCTCACCCACATCTGCACTCATGAAAGGGCTTGATTCTGGGGACTCATTTATGCCAAATCTCCAGCATCCCAGGTAAGCTGGAGATAGCACAAGGAGCCTGGAAATAAAAATCACAGGAAGAAGGTTGTCCAGCACCAGAGGTTTGGCACAAGCAGCTGTTTCAGGGCTTGTATTCCTGCTCCTCCCTCAGCAGAGCATGGATTGGTGCCAAACATCTCCTGCCTGTCCCTATTCACTGGGTGTCCCTTGGGTTTGGCTGTGCTTCTGGGGGATAGCAGCTTCATGCTCCAGGGAAGAGGGGTTTGGAGTAGAGATCCAGGAGATTTTGGAGCTACATTTTGGGTTTGGCATCGTCTCAGGCTGTTCCATGTGTCCAGGCAGTGGCTGTGATCTCTGTCTCAGTTTCCCCATACACTGGTGTAGGAATGCTGGGCCAGGACCCAGGAGGGCAGCAATTGCTGCTGTTCCTCTGGTGTGGAGGAATTTAACTCCAGTAACTATTTCCCAGCTCGTCATTTCAACAAGAGCATCTCTCTCCCCTGAGAGTGTAGGTGGAGCTGGGGATTTTAGGGTCAGAGGCCAAGATTTTCCCTTTAATCAGAGCTGTGGCTTTGCAAACATTCATGAGTCAAACATCACAGTATCTACAGGAGGTAAGTGTGAAGTGGGGAAACTGAGGCACAGAGTGGTTAAATTGCTTCCCAGAGAAGATCAAGCCCTGGACAACATGGTTTTTCTGGTTTAGCTTCCCAGCAGCATGAATAATGGGGCTTTCATCCTTCCCTGGTCCTGTTGTAGCTCCCATAACACAACCATCCAGCAGAACTGCCATTAGTGCAGCAGGTTTCCATTCACATCCACGTTCCCTGACAGCTTTCTCGTGCATTTCAGATACCAGTGAATGATTGTTTTGTTTCTCCCCATTCCCATCTCCCTCCCCAAACCCCCTTCACAGTCTCCCCTCTCCCCCCTTCCCTCCCCACTACTTGTATTTCTAATCCTGAGTTTTATCCCTCGTTTTTGTAGATTATGATTTTGGAGATGTCTTTCCAGCAATGCAGACCATGCCCAGCAGAGACTGGGAAGGTGGGACACACTCATCTCTTACAGCATTTTGGTTTTCTCTCTGCATTGCTGCCACCTGAGCTTTGCTGCATGTTCCCCCATTCATTTCTTTAATAACCAACTGCTCCATCTTGATGGAATTCTGTACAGGCAGAAAGGAGTGGAAAAGATCCCCCGAGGTGGGAGGTTGTGTGTCTCACCTGTGAGGCCGTGGGCAAAGCTTTCCCCAGCTCCTGCTGTACACAAAGACGCTCACCTGGCCACATATCCCACAGCTGAGGGATGTTTTCCTGCATCTTACGATGCCTCCATGTCCAGATTACAAAAGAAAAGCTGGAAAATTGCCCCTGCTGTGGAGCTGGCAGCAGGGACCAGCGTCCTTCCAAAATGTGGGATGTGCCAGCTGCCCGCACGCCATGGATTTCCTCTTTGGGGTAAAGCATGCAGGGTGCTGATCAAAAACACTGATCCACCATCACTGATTTCCTGAAAGCCCTGGAAAACAGATGAATTAATTCTGCTGCCTTTAATTTTGGGCCTTTTGCAGGGATTAATTTGGGAGGTTTTGTTTTCCCTGGGCCTTGCTGTCCTGTGTCAAAACATCTCCTGTGAAGCCACAACATCCAGCACGTGGCCATGCTCAGTTTGGATCACTACACTTCTTATTTATTTTACCACTTTTTAAACCAACTTGTCAGCTACATTTGGCCTTTATGGCCAAGAGCACGTGCCCAGTTTAGAGGAATTGGTTCTCCTTCCTCCACATGCAGCCCCTGTGTGAATCCTCTCCGTGCCATGGGAGCAGGACCCTCCTTGCTTTACCCCTGGAGGAGACACACCCACACTCCATCCTTTGCAGCTCAAAGCCTGATGGAGCTTTGGATCTGAATTGACTTGATACCACCTGAATACATGGGGAAATCTGCCTGAATTCCATGTGGATTGTTCTTGGGCTCCCTCTCATCTTCTTTCTTACCCCAAGCACAGGGATGTCCCAGACATGGTTCAACCTGTCCCTGAAGGTGCAAACCACATTTCCAAACCCAGCTCCACTGGGGGTGTTGGGTGGAGGCCGGGAGAAGCCAAGGGGTGCTGGGGCAGATCCCTCTGGATTTCAGGCATGCACAGCTCCCATCTGCAGGTCCTGGTTGCATAGTGGGATCCACCACTGCTCTGAGCTGAGCTTCCTCAGCCACAGGGAAATTGTCACTGGAACCCCCACCAGGTCACCTCACTAATGGATTCCTTGCTGTGGGAACACAGAGCAGAGGTTAAGAAAGTTTGGGCCATTCCCTGTTTTCAGCAAATGCATTTTGGGGTAAAATTCTGTATTCTGGACAAAGATTGTTTTGTCTCCACAGAAACAGCAGGATTTAGGCCAAAGTAGTAACACTGGATTGGTGGTGCAGGCTGAAATAGCTTTTAAATGTTTTATTTTATTAATGGTTGGACTTCATGATCTTAGAGGTCTTTCCCAATTTAAGTGATTCCATGAATTTCCCTTTAATGCAAACATTAACGACCCCATTGACTTCCCTGGTAAGAGCCCACACCCCTCCAGGAGTGTGGGGCAGGAGTTTCAGTGGGACCAAAGTGGTGTTTTACATCATCCCTCACCAACTGCCTGGATTAGAGTTTTAGAAGAGGTTTAATTTTCCTCCTCAAATCCTACACCTCTGAAGTGTAGGGCTGTGGTTCCCTCCCCAAGGGGTCTTTCTTGGTGGCTGAATCATAGAATCATGGAATGGTTTGGGTTGGAAGGGACCTTAAAGATCATCTCATTCCTATCCCTTGCCATGGGTAGGGACACCTTCCACTAGGCCAGGAAGGGTGCTGGAGAAGAGGAGGGCATGGATAACCTTCCTTTAACCGTGATTTTGGATGGATAACTCTGAGCATGACTCCTGCAGCACTTCCCTGCTGCTCCTTTTCCCTCTGAAGACTAACACGGGCCAAGCTGTTTGTGCTCCCACATGTCTGTGCTGCCTGCTGTCCTCAGACCCCTGGGAATGCTGTGTCCCCCTCCACCACACTTCCAGCTCCCCACGTGTGTCCCGTGTGAGCAGAGGAGAGCAGTCAGCTCCATAAGGAATGTTGCTCCATGGCTGGCTCCGTGTCTGCCCTTCCAGCTGGGCAAGCACCTTCCCGTGGCAGGGGGAGAAGCAGCAGCCTCGTTGCTCGCTGTTGTCTTGCTGAGAAACACCATGGCCCCAAAACCCCTCAAACCCCTCCCCTCTACTCCCTAATCCGGCTGCCGGCTCTGGGGTGGCCGAGCTGTTGTTTCCAGGCACTCTCTAAACCTCTGGCCAGTCTGTCCCTCCTCGCTGGCCCTGCGAGCAGTGCAGTGCCCACGCAGTGCCCTCCCTCCTCGCTGGCCCTGCAAGCAGTGCAGTGCCCACGCAGTGCCCTGGCCCCCAGCACGCAGCTTGGCTTCCCCTGCCTCCATCCAGGTGCCCGAGCGGGCACTGATCCGCCCTCCCCACCTTGTCTCTGCAGACGGAGACCTGACGGACACGCTGAGCTGCCCGCGCTCCACCGCCTCGGAGGCCAACGGCAGCAAGGGCCCGGTGAAGAGCCCGACCCAGCGCCACAACCCCTTCAACGAGGAGAAGGCCGACGTGCCGTCCTCCAGCGACACCACGCCGGTGCACACGGCGGCCCGGGAGAAGGCAGAGGCCACTCCCGAGGGGACAGACCAGTCTGAGAGCTGCACGGAGCTGGAGGTCATCAGGTAGGGACAGAGCTGCTGGCCTGATGTTGAGGATGTGCCACCCCTTGTAGCCCAGTGCAGATGGTGTCTGTGCTGGAGCCTTTGTGTCGCTGTCATAAGAAAGCAGGTTTATAGTCCAGACCCAAGCAGATGCTCTGTAGGTGTCACAGCTCATCTCGTAGGTCTGGGCTGGTCTGGGATCCCTTGGGCTGACTCCATATCAACACCTTTCAGTGTGTGTCAGAGTAACCTGTGAGCTTTTAATTGGAGCTCTCTCCAGCTGGTGGCAGGTTTGCAGCAGTTCTGGGTCTTGGATCTTCCCTCCTGTCCTGTCCCTCCTCCTGTTTGTCAGCAAGCTGTGGCTAAACCTGTTGTGGGAGATGTCTCCACAGAGTTCCTAGCCGGTGTTTGACTCCTGCAGAGGAGATCCCCAGGGGTTCCTTGGAGCCCTGAACCCAGACAAAGAGCTCAAGGCTCTGTCTGCTCACTCCCAGCCATGGGGACACCCCAAAACCCGCCCAGCAGGCCTGGGCTTTGTTCTTGTGCCCAGTTTTTCCTGGGAGGAGCAGAGGAGGTGGGTTACGTGGCATCCTGCACATCAGACACAGGGAAGGGGAGCAGCACACTCACTTCCCAAACAAGGGTGACCTGACAGCAGTTTGGGTGTCAAGGGTGTCCAGAACACTTCCGCAGCACATCCCGGTTGCCACTGGCTGGAGCAGGCTCCAGCCTGCATCTCCCTCTTCTGGCAGGTGGGGACACGGCAGTCCCACCTCTAGGAAGTTCCTCCCTTCCCAGCTGCCTGCTCTCAGCCAGGGATTTCTCCCATGTCACCTTAGCTCTGCATCCATTTGTGATCCCTTCGCAGCCAAAGGAAGCCCAAGGTGCTGCATCCAGCAGTGATGCCTCTTCTGTTGGGGATAAGTAGGAAAAAGTGTCCATACCTTGTGTCTCGTGACAACTGGCACGGAGATGGGAGCTCTATGTGACTGCACATCTAGTGATGTTCTCGATAGGGTTTCCCTGCAATAGGGAAAAGTGGGATCGCAGAGTCTAAGCAGGCACAGGTGAGTGACGTTCCTGTCTCTCACAGGTTGGCCAAGAAGAAGAAAACGGGCAAGAAGAAGAAGGTGAAGGCCGAGGAGGTGGTGAACAGCCCGGCCCCCACGGCGCCCAAGGCCAGCGGGGACAGCGGCGTCAACGGGCTCAGTGACAGGGAGGAGCCGCCCAGGGACGAGGGTCCCGCTGCCCTGCGCAGGCCGGAGGAGGGGGGCGAGCGCCCGGCCCTCGGGCAGCTGGCCCTGCGCATCCCCGAGATGAAGGACACGTCCATGGAGAGCCTGGGGCAGCCCCTCAGCAAGGTCATGGACAGGCTCAACGGGCAGCTGGACCCCGGGGGCTGGAACGCTCCCCTGGAGCCCCCCGGGCAGCCCTTTCGGACCGGCACGCCAGGGGAGACCCCGGATGGATCGTCCTCTGGCGACTTTAGCGAGGGGATTTCAGCCCCCATGGACTTCTACCGATTTACCGTCGAGAGTCCAAACGCTGCTGCGCCAGGTGGTGGCCACCATGACCCTCCAGGGCCTGGCCAACCGCCACATGTTTCTGGTAGCCCTGAGGCTCCTGAAGAAGAAGAAAGCAGAGAGGGAGAAGCAGTTGGGGCAGTAGAGGAGTCTGGAAGGGCGAGTGATGAACCCCAAACTGGCCAGACAGAAACCACCAACCCCCAGGCTCCCTGTGAGCCCAAGAAGGAGCAGCCCAGCCCTTCCCTGAGCAGTGCCGAGGACTCTGGGGTGGAGGAGGGGCAGGGCAGCCCCTCAGAGCTGACCCATCCTTCCGAGTTCAGGTGAGGATGGCTTTGTTCAGCAGGGAGAACGTCTTCCAAACACTCTTGAGCTCAAGCTGGTGCTTTCCCCTTTGTCCTTGGTTTGGGGGGCAAAGCCCATCCTTTTCCAGGGTGAAAAGGAGGCACAAGGGGTCAGGAGGAGAAAGTCTTGGGGGAATAACAAGTGCCCAAATCATGGACATGTTCAATAAGGAAGGGGATTGCCCTTCCTGGACTCACCCAGCCCCGTGTCCGTGTCCATCCTCTGCTGTCTGTCTCCACAGGGTGGATAACAACCATCTCCTCCTGCTGATGATCCATGTCTTTCGGGAGAACGAGGAACAGTTATTCAGGGTAAGGGGGTCACCATGGATTGAAGGGCCAGCTCTGTGCATCAGCCCAGGGCTGAGAGCTCTTTTGTCTCCATGCAGATGATCCGAATGAGCACTGGGCACATGGAGGGGAACCTGCAGCTGATCTACGTCCTGCTGACGGATTGTTACGTGTACCTGATCCGGAAAGGTACCCTATCCCAACAGCCCCTGGGCTCAGCAGCAGGGAGGGAGGCTTGTCCATGAATCAGGGCACCACAGCTCCCTGCCTTCACTGCCAGTTCCCTCGTGTCCCAGTAGGGAGCTCAGGTTGACCTGTCCCCCGGGAAGCCCTGGGACACGTGTCCCGTGGCTCTGTGCTGCCTGGGACACGGCTCGGTTTGCAGGTCCATCGCTGCTGCTGCTGCCAAGGGGGTCCTTTGCCCCCCTTCACGTGGCTCTCTGTGTCTGTGCCAGGGGCAGCGGAGAAGCCGTACATGGTGGAGGAGGCCGTGTCCTACAACGAGCTGGATTACATCTCGGTGAGCAGCTGGGGAGCAGGAGGGCAGCTGGGACAGTCCTCTCCTGCCTGAGGGATGAGAGTGCCAGGAGCATCACGGTGGGGTGTGCTTGTGTCCATGGGGAGTGTTTTGGCCAGTGAGTCTTTGAGGCTGAGAGAGTTGGAAGTGATCCCCCCTCAAATGCCACCTCTGTGGGTGCCCACCTTGCTTGTGGGCAGCGGAGTGACCACTGACCCTCTCCCCAGGGCCAGGAGCCGGGTCCAGCCCTGCTCCACTGCCCCTCATGCCATGCCTGACTTCCCTAACCCTCCCTGTGTGGCACAGGTGGGGCTGGATCAGCAGACAGTGACCCTGGTGTGCACCAACCGGAGGAAGCAGTTCCTGCTGGACACCGCCGACGTGGCTCTCACCGAGTAAGCGCAGGGACAGAACCCCTGAGCAGCACCTGGGACGGGGGGAGTGCAGGACACGGCGCTGACAGCCCTGCACAACAAAGTCCTGCCACCAGTTGGGGTTTGGGGTTGGTTTGATGCCACTGGCTGAACCCTGCAAGCAGCTGGAATTGCCTCAGGCATGCATACACTGAAAGTATCTTCCCTGGATAAACACAGCAGTCACCCTGTCCCTCAGGCTGAGCCTCAGGGGTCTGGGCAATGCAGATCCCCTTGTCCCTTGTGTCACTTGGGATGAGCAGGGACGAGCTCTGAGTTCCAAGGCACATCCCCAGGCCTGTGTGGTCAGCTCAGGGACGTATGACAGCTGATGGTCATACTGGGATCTGTTTTGGATGTGTCCACCTCCCAGTCCTACCCACAGCCCTGGGATTAGCTCAGTTGGTTAGAGCATGGTGCTAATAATGCCAAGGCTGCAGGGTCTATGCCAGTATGGGCTATTTGCTTAAGAGTTGGACTTGTTCCTTTGGGTTCCTTCCAGCTCAGAATATTCTGTGGTTCTGTGAGCTCCTTTCTGGAGTTCAGGCTCTGCAGCCCCCCATCACCTCTGGTCTGTAGGTTGATTTTGGGACCCAGAGGCCCACAGTGAAGGGGAGCCCCTTGGGCACCAGAGCATGTGAGGGAGATGAGGGGCTGTTTGCCCTGGCCTTGTCAGAGATCTCTGCCTCCTCTCAGGTTCTTCCTGGTCTCCTTGAAGTCAGCCATGATCAAAGGGTGCCGGGAGCCCCCGTACCCCAGTATCCTCACGGATGCCACCATGGAGAAACTGGCGCTCGCAAAGTTCGTGGCACAGGAGTCCAAGTGTGAGGTGAGTTTGGATATCGCCGCAATCACCGCGGGTGACGAAGGCTCACGGGAGACTCCCTTGACTTCTGCTGCTCCTCACAGGCCTGCGACGTGGTGGTGCGCTTCTACGGCCTCGTTCACTGGGAAGACCCCCTGGATGAGGCGCTGGGACCCGCCAGCAACAGCTACTCCTCCAGTGAAAATGCTGTCACCAAGGACGGCATCCTGCACTACAAGGCAGGGACCTCCTACCTGGGCAAGGAGCAGTGGAAGACCTGCTTCGTGGTGCTCAGGTGGGCGCTGGGGCTGCAGGTCAGGGGCAGCCAGGGCCCGTTGGAGAAGGTGCTGGGAGCACTGTGCTGCATGGGAGGTGGTGAGGACCCATCTTGTCACCGGGAGGGCTAAAGCCACCAGCTGTGGGTGCCCAGCAGCAGGAACGTGACCCCACGGGGCTGTGTGGGTGGAGGACAGGGCAGGGCTGGCCATGGGACTGAAGGCAGGGGATACCAGAGCTGAGCTGACTCCGGTGACTCCGTCTCATCTTCCCAAACGGCAGCAACGGGATCCTGTACCAGTACCCGGATCGCACCGACGTCACCCCCCTGCTCTCCATCAACATGGGGTAAGTGGCTGGTGGGATGGGGCACCCAGACTCAGTGGGGATCTGGGGAGCAGGAGCTCCTTGGGATGTCCAGGGAGGTGTTCTGGGGCAGATCATGACCTACACCAATGCTGCAGGACTCCCTGCTTGCTCCTGGCTGGTGCCAGGCTTAGTGGGAGATGGCCTCATTTCCTCCTAGTTTTTGAACACTAAGCCCACCCTTGGATGGGGAATTGGCCTCTGAAGGGTGACATACCCCTCTAAGAGCCATTCTGGGAGACCCACTGTGCTCAGCCCTCCCACAATACGCAGAGACAGGCCATCCTTGGAGCAATCCCAGGGGATGTCACAGAGGGGAAACGAGTGTTTGTGGGAGGAGGGCTGAGGTGCTGTGCAGGGAGGGCAGGCAGAGGCTGTTTTCGGGCTGGTGCTGGCATGTCCATCCCACTGATCTCCATCCTCCCCTCTCTCCCAGCGGCGAGCAGTGCGGGGGATGTCGACGCTCCAACGCCACCGACCGGCCCCACTCCTTCCAGGTGATCCTGACGGACCGGCCCTCCCTGGAGCTGAGCGCCGACAACGAGGAGGACATGGCCGACTGGATGCAGTACTTCTGCCAGGCTGTCTCCAAAGGGGTGAGCTGGGGACGGGCCCCAAGCGTGGGTGCTTCGACCTCCTCCTTTGCCTGGAGCCCCTTTGGAGCTGCCGAAGGGAGCATGGATGCCTGGCAGGGATGGAACAGGCAGCTTTATCCCGAGCCAGAAGAGCTTCCCCACGGGGCACCCCATGGAGATGGGGCTCCACCATGCCAGACGTTAACCCCCCGTTTCCCCACCCCATGCAGGTGATCCCCCAGGGTGTTGCCCCCACGCCTTGTGTTCCCTGCTGCCTCGTGCTGACGGATGAGAAGGCCTTTACATGCCACGAGGACTGCCAGACCAGCTTCTTCCGCTCGCTGGGCACTGCCGAGCTCACAGACATCGCCGCCGTCTCCACGGAGGCTGGCAAGGAGTACTGTATCCTGGTGAGCTTGGGGCTTTGGGACCGGCTGGCCCAGGGCTGGGCAAGGGTCCAGCGGTGACATCCAGCCTCTCTCTTGGTGTTTAGGAGTTTGCTCAGGACAGCAAGGAGTTCCTGCCCCCCTGGGTCCTCTATTTTAGTTGCACTACAGAGCTGGAGAGGTTCCTGTCGGCGCTGAACGCCGCGTGGAGGAACATCTACCAGGTGAGCACGTGGGGCTGCCTCACACCCTTCATCCAGTGAAGGAGGGCAGAGGGGTGAATTCGTCCCTGCAGGGTGAACCCAGCTTTCCCACAAAGGGCAGAGAGCTTCTCTGTTGTCCATATAAGCACAGGATGTGGGATTTGGAGCCTGGCAAGACAAGCCACGAGCATCCCGCGCTGGCGAAGGGAGTGGGAGGGACCTGGGGCAGCCCATATTTATGACACAGACGATCCAGTTTCTGTGGATTTGAGGTGGTTTTACAGTAAGAGGGAGAATTGACAGTTGTCTGTTCCCCTCCTGACGCCCCACACGTGTGTTCCAGGTCGAGCTCCTGCACAAGGCCATCCTGGACGCGGCTGTCAAGAAGAAGTGCGAGGACGCCCAGAGCCTCATTGACAGCGCGTGGCAGCGCAGCGACAGCCTGTGCCGCGGCCGGGCCGAGCGGGACCCCTGGTGCTGACCCTGCCCGGGGGAGGACAGCTCATGGGGACCCATTTTTGGGGGAAGCAGGGCCTGTGTCTGGCCAACTGGCAGCCCAAACCTCCTGCCATCGCTCAGTCCCCACCAGGGACGTGCCTGCAGCGTGGACCCCGTGCCCACCGCCGAGCCAAGGACGTCCAGTGCGTTTTGGGAGCAGCCGGACGCTTCTCCTCCTGCGCCTTCCTCCTCGTCCAGCTGCCACGGGGCAAAGGATTTGCCCTTCATGGAATAATGTCCCACTAGTAGTGAGGGAGAGGGTGGGAGTGGGGTGGGCTGGGATGAGCATCCCCCCGTTGTGGCGGGGAACAGGACTGAGGACTTGTTCATTTTAGAACAGGGTCAGGGCGTGGAGGGGGTGAGACAGGAACACTCAATCGCTACCGTGCATGTTTTGTTGCTCATACAATCACTGAGTACGGCACCGCTGCGCCGCCTCCTCCTCCTGGAGAACCCACCCGGGGCCTCCGGACATCAGCCTGTCCAGGAGGTTTGAGGCTAAGGAAGAAGGAACAGGGCCAAAAATTTGGCCTTAAACATCCCCGCATGGTTTTAGGAGAGCTCAGAAGCCGGTTTGAGGTTTGGACGCTGGTCCCGTGTGCCGGGGAGGGGGTGAAGAGATGGAGTCCCATGTTCTTCAGGCATCCTGAGGGACGTTGTCACGTGGCTGCCACCGAACACATCCCCTCCTCCTCAGTTCCTGCACCCGAGGCCGGCGCAGAGCTTGTGCTCCACAGCGAGCACTTTGGGGCACAACCCCTGCTTTTAAATAATAATAGGAAGAATTATAATAATAATAATAATAATAATCCGGAGACCTTCTCATGTAATATACGTTCATGGGGCCTTTTTCTGGGAGGAAACGTACGTGACTGAATGTATATGTACATACATCTGCTTCCTTCCCCCCTCCCCAAATAAATAGTCACTGGTAACTCAGCTTTGGCCCTGCGACACATTCTGGCACCTGGGGCTGCTGTTCCTCATCCTGTTGTCACTTTGGAGCCTGTGGAATCACTCTGGAGCAGGAGCCAAGGCTGCTGTTCCTCGTCCTGTTGTCACTTCAGAGACTGTGGAATTGCTCTGGGGCAGGATGCTGAACCCCAGTGGTGTTAACCCTGTGCTGGGGCACATTCTCTTTTTCAGCTGAGAATTATCCATCAGGTCACAGAGTCTGGATGCTCTGTCCCCGTTTATCCCCAGATCCAGGAGATATTCCTAGTCTAGACAAGAAATAAACAGCTATGGGGCCAGCCCCAGCATCACCCACCTTGCCTGTAAACCCTGCCTCTGCTTTTGGGATCAAAACAGGGGTGTTGGGGGTATATCAGGGATGGGGGAGCCACTGGGGTGGGGAGGGCTCACACCTCCCCACCCCCTCAGTAACCACCGGAGTGCCTCGGCCTTGGGGTAAAACAGGTCCCAGGGGGTCACTGTGCAGCCCTAAAAATAGGACTCCCTGGCGGGGGGGAGGGAC